CCAGCCACCAGAACAGGCCTCTCCCCCACCTCACAGCTGCAGCAAGTCCTGGTCCAGCAGCACCCTCACCACGCCATCTTAGATGGAACCACCCATTGGAGCAGCCACCTGCGATGGCTCTCCAAAGGAAGCGGGCAGGGGGAGAATTTCTTGTGCGTGGCCGTGCAGGTGCACACCTTAGCAGGAACTTTGCTTACCTCTGCTTGTCCTTGTGACTTGCTTTGTTTTTTAATTCCACTGATCACATTGATCAGGAACAATAGCCAAATGTCATGTGTCTTGTATGAATTTGAAGAGACTTTATCCCTTTTTTCAGCATTGAAAATTGTGAATTAAGACTTTGTTTAATTTGGGTTTTACATCATTTATGTAAGTGGTATCTTATGAAACCAAAAAATGTGATTTGACTTACTTGTACGGCACTCTGTCCCTTTTGATTGCCGTCTCTTACGCAGCCCCAATTTCTGCCAAGCAAATAATGTCCCCACTAATATTCTTCTTTCATGTACATTTTGTTGCCTGCTCTTTCATTAATAATTTGCTCATAAGTGATGAGTGAAGGATTTGATTAAAAACATTTTGGCTTTTTTGCCTGCATTGTGATATTTCATTGTGCTATTAAATCTTCCAAATCCTTCAGAAAGAAGCATTGTTGTACCATTAACTTAACTAGCTTCCTCATAGAGGCATAGTAGAAGAAATTAGAGAACTGAGCTTCTGATATATTAGTTAGCATGTCCCAAAAGTAGAGGGAAATTCCTTCAGATATTTGCAATGTGCTTCTTTTAAGTATTGGATAAGAAGAATTGACTGATAGGCGGTCATTACCAGAGTAGGAATAGTAGGAGTTTTATTGCTCATGTGCTTAATCCAAACTCACTGAGTAGTCTTTGGGGCCAGTAAGGCTTCTTATGAGGGAGATGATTGCAGGGTGCTGGTCATGGCCTCCTTCCAATTCTTGCAGGTTGTCATTGTGTGATGTGCCAAGTGTCATCCTTGCCCATTGAAGTCAATGGGAGATGGAGGTTGGCCAGCACTTCTAAGGATTGAGTCTATAAGAAACAGCCTTTGCAGAAAGAATCTGCTTTCTCTCAATAATTCTCCTTGCAAAAGATAAATCTGAAAAGTCTTTCTTCATTCTTTCTCTCTCTCTCAGAAACATTGTTGTCTTGGTTGCAGACAACAATGCAAATGCATCATGTTAAGCTTTTGTATAAATGTTAGAATTAGTTTTTTTGAAAAAAGATGTACTTCTGCCTTCAGAAAACCAGATTAGAAAAAAGGGATACTCTCTCTTTAACAAGCTTTAAACATTATATTTTAAAACAGGGAGAAAAACTCATCTTGAATTCCCAGTTCCGCTTAAGCTTATGTTGTGCTTTTTGTTTTATCTTTATTTTTATATACCTGGAATGCAGTTTATCTTGGTATTAATAACATTCTAAATATGTGAGCATATTGGCAAAAACTGCACAGATGTAATGATATTCCAATAGCAATTGTTCTGCACAAGTCAGTGATTGTAAAGTATTCCGTAACAAGCAATGTGTCTCCTATTTTTTGATACCTCTTACACTTATGTCTTTTAGAAAGACAGTGCCTCTGTATGCTTTTGTATTTTTACTGAGTGATTGTAAATATTTGTTATATTTTTGGTTAAGAGAATGTTTAAAAGTACTGTTTATTATCCAATCTGTTGGAATTAATAAACAAGCTATGTACGTTAATTGTTTGTAAGTGGACCTTCTTTGATAATAAGCGTGTGCAACCTAACAGAGGATTGCACTGAGACAGGTTTAGTTCTAGGGATTCCCAAGATGTGCAGTCAGAAGTGGCTTTCTGTTGTCTCTGGTGCCATCTTCCGCCCTGGTGAGGAACAGCAATTCATAAGTGTTTTAAATAGGGTGGAAAATATAAATAGGACAGAGCCAAGGGTAGCCTGGTCAGGATGGAATGAGGAACTTGGCATTTTAGGGGTTAGATTTTCTTTACAAAATGCTTAAGCTTGGGTCTGCAGGCAGAGTGATTGAGACTGAAACACATAGCTAGATGCTGTTCTGCTGCATGACTTCTCCCCTACTCCACATACGGGCAGGCCTCTTCCTTATGGCATTGGGAGGTAGTAAAATGTTGCTGCTGGGGGCTGTAGGATAGGGCCTGCTTCTCATGTTTAGCTTTCCGAAGTTTTGTCTCTGATTCTGGCACGTTAGCTTAGGTTCAGTTTTTCTCACTAAGGGCTTGTCCGTGTTTATGGGGAAGGTTCTCCACTGTCGAATCATTAATCCAAACACCTTTGCACCATCCCTTCCCCAAGGCCCTGTCTGACTCATTCTATACCCCTCCCTTCATTGCTCACTTCCCTCCACACACCCTCACTTTCACAGGCTGGGAATCACAGCTAGGACAGAGGATTGAGGTGCAGGAGCTTCGGGGGTGTGGGATTTTTGTGATTGGGTGTAGGAGGTGGCTCAGGGTTGGGCATAGGAGGGGTTGCAGGAAATGGGCTCTGGGGAAGGGTTCAGGCCTTGGGCAGGAGCTTGGGGTGTGGGAGAGGATTCAGGGTGCAGGCTCTGGCCAGGCGGCACTTACCTCAGACCTTCCTGGGTGGCAGCACAGTGGGGTTGAGGCAACCTGCCCTGGCCCCACGCTGCTCCCAGAAACAACTAGCATGTCCCTCCAGCCTCTGGAGGAGGCACATGTCTATGTGTTGCCCTTCCCTTCAAGCACAGCTCCCAACCACAAAGAAGGTATGTTTGCTGGGAGGAACTTTCCTTCTGTAGGGGGCTGCATAGCTGCGAAGGCTGTATCCCTTCCTCTTGGCCTGCAGAGAAATGCTCCTGGCTTTGTCCTGCTATTCTGTGAAGCCCTGTCTCAGACCTCATCAGAGCAGGAACTGTGCTCCCAGACTCGCATTCTGCCAGGGAAAGGGCTCTGTCTCTCCCAAGATGGAAGAGTTTCCTCCACCTCTTCCTCCAGAGTCTGATGCCCATGCTAAAGGGAGCACTCCAGGCAGGCTGTGCCCACAACAGAAGTACGTAAGGACCCCATTTCCTGTGTACCTGCGCTAGCACAGGATTACAGCAGGGCAAGGGAGAAATGCCCTGCCGTGGACACAATACCACCTTAGTGTAGGCCCAAGTGGGAGTTCTTAAATGGGCACCCAACAATTTTCCTTCCATGGTCCCCAAACCTCCTACTGTACATTTCCCAGGTATTTGCCTCCCTTCAGTCCTGAGGTACAGGAGGGCAGTGGCTCCTAGGAAGCTTAATACCTCAGGAGGGAGAGATGTTCCTTCAGTCTGCATCTGCAGTAATACAACCAATAAGACAAAACCTTTAGCCAGGCAAAACAGATACAGGAAAGTGTCCTAGATATGGAGAACTATCATTCCTCCTGGTTCCTAATTCCCACAGCCACAGTCTCCTGTCGAAGATTTGGCCTGGCTCTTTGCTCAAGATGGACTCTTTATTTACTTCTCTTCTCCTCATTGAGCTTGGCAAGGTTCAGCTGCCTTTCCTTGCTTTGAGGGCATGTTGGTGGGTTTGCCCTCTCTGGGTATGTGTAGGGCTAGCGTCCAGTGCTGGTCCCTGACAGGAACCTTGCAGAGTCAGATCTTTTCACACAATCAATGCAGTGCTGGTTAGTCTTCATTACCGGTATTATTCTAGCTGGTAATACCTAATAACGCCAGTCATGGACTAGGGTCCCAGTGAGCAAGGTACGGGACAAAAGGACAGGCCCTGCCCCTAAGCTAGATGAGCCCAAACAGTGTTTGCACCATGGCTAAACATTCCCGGAGCCTGTCTAGAGGAAGCGCTCAAGCTGACTGGGGCAGTCTCCCTTGGAGTTGAGGAGGAAGCAGGCTCTAAACTTTTCTGTGTAGATTCTTGCTCTGCGCTCATCTCCATAGTATCAGAGCGCCTTTCGGTAGAGATTAAGGTTATAATAGTGTAGTCGATTAATTAACCAATAAGCAAAAGATTATAGATTAATGCCATAGACCACCCACATTTCCTCCCTCCCCCCAACCAGTAAATGTTTTAGCAGGCT